GGTGGAAATATGAACTCTGACGCCCTTCTCAAGCGGCCATTTCTCTCCTTTTCCTGGTTTCCTGACCGCCTTGGAGTTGTAGAGCATGAAGACGTCAATGTTGCTGGTTCCGCGGACCTCGAAGGTCTCGGCCTCTCTGGGGAGATACCTGCCAAGGGACAAAGAACAAGTCAAAGGGTATGCGCCGCTGTGACATGGGGCGTCATTGGTCCTCGGGGACTGCGGACTGTAGTACAGAGGGACTGTATACACGGCTACGCGGATCAGGACGGGAATGTATATATTAAATACAGAGAACAATATATAAGCTTATATAACAATTCTTAGCGGTGCGCCGTCTACCCCCGCACACTCACCCCGTATATTATATGACGAACAATTATACTCTATGTGCCGTCTGTCATTATCTGAATTATATTTCCCTATAAAATTCCCTTTTATAGCAGCCAGAGGCTCCGGGCTCATCCCCAGACAGGCGGAGGAGAGAGTGCCGCCACTCACCTGGAGGAATGGACGTACTGACTGCATTCTGTGACCTCCTGTGACTTCCTATGACCTCATATAACCTCCTGTGACTTCCTGTGACCTCCTGTGACTTCCTATGACCTCATATAACCTCCTGTGACTTCCTGTGACCTCCTGTGACTTCCTGTGAGCTGACACCGTCATTATTATTATTATTGATTTATATTATGTAAACATAAAAACAGAACGAATCTCAGTATCTGATAAGAAAATCTTTACCATTCTCCACCCACATATAATACATACAGTACAACGCTACAGTCTATGGATCCTCATCACAAACAGAGCAATCCTGAGAATAAGAACAGATACCGAGAATGACACCCGGCATACAGGACAAGGGAAGTGGTACTGTGCAGAGTCCATACATACAGAATAAGAACAGATACTGAGAATGACACCCGGCATACAGGACAAGGGAAGTGGTACTGTGCAGAGTCCATACATACAGAATAAGAACAGATACTGAGAATGACACCCGGCATACAGGACAAGGGAAGTGGTACTGTGCAGAGTCCATACATACAGAATAAGAACAGATACTGAGAATGACACCCGGCATACAGGACAAGGGAAGTGGTACTGTGCAGAGTCCATACATACAGAATAAGAACAGATACTGAGAATGACACCCGGCATACAGGACAAGGGAAGTGGTACTGTGCAGAGTCCATACATACAGAATAAGAACAGATACTGAGAATGACACCCGGCATACAGGACAAGGGAAGTGGTACTGTGCAGAGTCCATACATACAGAATAAGAACAGATACTGAGAATGACACCCGGCATACAGGACAAGGGAAGTGGTACTGTGCAGAGTCCATACATACAGAATAAGAACAGATACTGAGAATGACACCCGGCATACAGGACAAGGGAAGTGGTACTGTGCAGAGTCCATACATACAGAATAAGAACAGATACTGAGAATGACACCCGGCATACAGGACAAGGGAAGTGGTACTGTGCAGAGTCCATACATACAGAATAAGAACAGATACTGAGAATGACACCCGGCATACAGGACAAGGGAAGTGGTACTGTGCAGAGTCCATACATACAGAATAAGAACAGATACTGAGAATGACACCCGGCATACAGGACAAGGGAAGTGGTACTGTGCAGAGTCCATACATACAGAATAAGAACAGATACTGAGAATGACACCCGGCATACAGGACAAGGGAAGTGGTACTGTGCAGAGTCCATACATACAGAATAAGAACAGATACTGAGAATGACACCCGGCATACAGGACAAGGGAAGTGGTACTGTGCAGAGTCCATACATACAGAATAAGAACAGATACTGAGAATGACACCCGGCATACAGGACAAGGGAAGTGGTACTGTGCAGAGTCCATACATACAGAATAAGAACAGATACTGAGAATGACACCCGGCATACAGGACAAGGGAAGTGGTACTGTGCAGAGTCCATACATACAGAATAAGAACAGATACTGAGAATGACACCCGGCATACAGGACAAGGGAAGTGGTACTGTGCAGAGTCCATACATACAGAATAAGAACAGATACTGAGAATGACACCCGGCATACAGGACAAGGGAAGTGGTACTGTGCAGAGTCCATACATACAGAATAAGAACAGATACTGAGAATGACACCCGGCATACAGGACAAGGGAAGTGGTACTGTGCAGAGTCCATACATACAGAATAAGAACAGATACTGAGAATGACACCCGGCATACAGGACAAGGGAAGTGGTACTGTGCAGAGTCCATACATACAGAATAAGAACAGATACTGAGAATGACACCCGGCATACAGGACAAGGGAAGTGGTACTGTGCAGAGTCCATACATACAGAATAAGAACAGATACTGAGAATGACACCCGGCATACAGGACAAGGGAAGTGGTACTGTGCAGAGTCCATACATACAGAATAAGAACAGATACTGAGAATGACACCCGGCATACAGGACAAGGGAAGTGGTACTGTGCAGAGTCCATACATACAGAATAAGAACAGATACTGAGAATGACACCCGGCATACAGGACAAGGGAAGTGGTACTGTGCAGAGTCCATACATACAGAATAAGAACAGATACTGAGAATGACACCCGGCATACAGGACAAGGGAAGTGGTACTGTGCAGAGTCCATACATACAGAATAAGAACAGATACTGAGAATGACACCCGGCATACAGGACAAGGGAAGTGGTACTGTGCAGAGTCCATACATACAGAATAAGAACAGATACTGAGAATGACACCCGGCATACAGGACAAGGGAAGTGGTACTGTGCAGAGTCCATACATACAGAATAAGAACAGATACTGAGAATGACACCCGGCATACAGGACAAGGGAAGTGGTACTGTGCAGAGTCCATACATACAGAATAAGAACAGATACTGAGAATGACACCCGGCATACAGGACAAGGGAAGTGGTACTGTGCAGAGTCCATACATACAGAATAAGAACAGATACTGAGAATGACACCCAGCATACAGGACAAGAGAAGTGGTACTGTGTGTGCAGTTATCTAATCATGACGTGTATGACAATAATAGTAACATATATAATACATGTATGATTACATACTTTGTAGCAATGTGTCACTCATCTGGTAATTATATGTGACAACATCTCTTCTGAACATACAGGTCACATGTGTCACTCGCCGCCAGTCATTCCTGAGTCCCCGTCACCAGCAATAATACTGCAGCGTGGACGGCTAATGTGACGTTGGCATGACGACAGGAAATATGTGCGGCACGCCGTGTCATGTGACACTCCTCATTTACTATTTAATCTCATTTTAATGAATATTCAGGCCGGGAAGAGTCACAGCCAGGACTGTCCTTCGGGGGAGCAGAGCCACTGGACTGTCACAGCTTCTCCTTCCCGTAATCCCTGGCCAGTAGAACGAGACAATTATTAAAGCGGAACTCCGCCACAAAAACTTTCAATGAAATATATTTACCCGCAAAGGAAATAACATTCTGACCCCCCGCCAAATATTGAGTAGGTCCCCCTTCTCCTGACCCGTCCAGGCATGGACTCCACTAGACCTCTGAAGGTGTGCTGTGGTATCTGGTACCAAGCCGTCAGTATCAGATCCTATAAGTCCTGTAAGGTGTGAGGTGATCGGCCTCCATGGACTTGGATCCTGGTGCCATCTCTTCCCCAGGTAAGTGAAGCACACGCACCCGGCCATACACATCAGATCCGGCCACCTTCTTCCATTGCTCCGTGCTCCAGTTCTGATGCTCATGCGCACAATGTAGGTGCTTTTTCGTGGTGGACACGGGTCAGCATGGGCCCCCTGACCGGCCTATCTATCAGAACCAACATTCACTTTATCAGCAATTAGATTTCCAGTATCTCTTCTATTGGATCGGACTACACGAGCCATACTTCCCTCTCCCACCTCTATCAAGGAGCCTTCCCTCCCCCTGTCCATCAATGAGCCTTCTCTCGCCCCCTCCATCAATGAGCCTTCTCTCGCCCCCTCCATCAATGAGCCTTCTCTCGCCCCCTCCATCAATGAGCCTTCTCTCGCCCCCTCCATCAATGAGCCTTCTCTCGCCCCCTCCATCAATGAGCCTTCTCTCGCCCCCTCCATCAATGAGCCTTCTCTCGCCCCCTCCATCAATGAGCCTTCTCTCGCCCCCTCCATCAATGAGCCTTCTCTCGCCCCCTCCATCAATGAGCCTTCTCTCGCCCCCTCCATCAATGAGCCTTCTCTCGCCCCCTCCATCAATGAGCCTTCTCTCGCCCCCTCCATCAATGAGCCTTCTCTCGCCCCCTCCATCAATGAGCCTTCTCTCGCCCCCTCCATCAATGAGCCTTCTCTCGCCCCCTCCATCAATGAGCCTTCTCTCGCCCCCTCCATCAATGAGCCTTCTCTCGCCCCCTCCATCAATGAGCCTTCTCTCGCCCCCTCCATCAATGAGCCTTCTCTCGCCCCCTCCATCAATGAGCCTTCTCTCGCCCCCTCCATCAATGAGCCTTCTCTCGCCCCCTCCATCAATGAGCCTTCTCTCGCCCCCTCCATCAATGAGCCTTCTCTCGCCCCCTCCATCAATGAGCCTTCTCTCGCCCCCTCCATCAATGAGCCTTCTCTCGCCCCCTCCATCAATGAGCCTTCTCTCGCCCCCTCCATCAATGAGCCTTCTCTCGCCCCCTCCATCAATGAGCCTTCTCTCGCCCCCTCCATCAATGAGCCTTCTCTCGCCCCCTCCATCAATGAGCCTTCTCTCGCCCCCTCCATCAATGAGCCTTCTCTCGCCCCCTCCATCAATGAGCCTTCTCTCGCCCCCTCCATCAATGAGCCTTCTCTCGCCCCCTCCATCAATGAGCCTTCTCTCGCCCCCTCCATCAATGAGCCTTCTCTCGCCCCCTCCATCAATGAGCCTTCTCTCGCCCCCTCCATCAATGAGCCTTCTCTCGCCCCCTCCATCAATGAGCCTTCTCTCGCCCCCTCCATCAATGAGCCTTCTCTCGCCCCCTCCATCAATGAGCCTTCTCTCGCCCCCTCCATCAATGAGCCTTCTCTCGCCCCCTCCATCAATGAGCCTTCTCTCGCCCCCTCCATCAATGAGCCTTCTCTCGCCCCCTCCATCAATGAGCCTTCTCTCGCCCCCTCCATCAATGAGCCTTCTCTCGCCCCCTCCATCAATGAGCCTTCTCTCGCCCCCTCCATCAATGAGCCTTCTCTCGCCCCCTCCATCAATGAGCCTTCTCTCGCCCCCTCCATCAATGAGCCTTCTCTCGCCCCCTCCATCAATGAGCCTTCCCTCCCCCGTCCATCAATGAGCCTTCTCTCCCCCCCTCCATCAATGAGCCTTCCCACCCCCCGTCCATCAATGAGGTCTTTGTTATGGGAGAGGGTGGAGACAAGACCAGTCACCCTGCATAAGGAGTGAGGAGCAGTGAGCGGTCATTATTACAGGAGGGGGCGGAGACAAGACCGGTCACCCTGCACAAGGAGAGAGCAGCAGTGACCGGTCTTTATTACTGGAAGCTCCAAGTCTCACACAAGCTTACCAAGATTTAAGAAGAAGAACACACATGACTCTTGTATGTTGTATGAGGACGATATCTGCTGATCCCGGAGTCCAGCTTTAAGTCCAGTTACTTAATGCGAATTAGCACAACACAGAGAAGTCAATTGTCACTAATGCCGCTAAGCTCCGGAGCTTTGCGCACACAAGACGCCGTGTCACATCAATCATCACATTTATAATCGTTTAATCCCGGAGCTCAGTCAGATATTTTCTGAGCCTCTTCAAAGGCTCTGGAACCAGTTTCAGTAATGAGGGAGATTTGTGACACTTCCAGGGACACTGCGGTGCTGTCCAATAGGGGCCCCCGATGACCTCCCAGTGAATATTGCGCAATCCTCCCCGCAGGTCATTGGCCGGTCCGGCTCTCCATTGTGCGCGGTGAGATATTGACGGAAATGCTTTATTCCTTTCACACCTTTTTTTAAAATTGCTTTTATTTCATAACATACCCCGGCGGTAGGCAACTTCGGCAACCCAGCTGTGGCGAGACTACAAATCCCAGAATGCCCCTGGGAGACATGCCCGTGGCTATCAGAGTCCTTGTAGTTCCACAACAGCCGTAGTGCCAAGATTACCCACCCCCTACATACTGGTTTTTCCCCAGCTCAGTGCTGCTGATCTTGTGCCCATCCACCCCCCCCTTCAGTGACTTCCTGTCTACATGCGCATGCAGGGCCGGATTTCCCACATGGCCAACCAAGGGGCAGCCTCGGGGCAGCAGGGAGTAGAGGGGCAGCAGGGGTGTGGACCCAATGCCAGCACAATGTGTTTTAGTCTTCACCAGGGGTACATGTGAGAGGGTGACAACCCAGGAGCACAAGTGAGAGGCAGGGACAGGGCGTTCCATAGAGGTTCCCACCGCACTCCCTTTTTTTTTCCCCGTCATGCCTGATGAAGGGACCCTGAGTGGCCACCGCAACGTTGCTTTATGACGAGACGTGTGCACATCAATAAAATGACCACTCGTTGAAGATTTTACTTTGGTGTGCTGGTGATATACTTTACTATAGGGACAGGGGGTTGTCACCCTATAACAGGAAGTGCTTGAACAAGGACCCTCATGGCGAGATCACCAGGGCATTTTCTAAAGATTGCAGATCTAAAAATAATGACAATTAGCATGATGAAGCTTGTATTGGATATTAGTGACGGGATCGATCTACTTTAGGCCCATCCAGAAAACTGTCCCCTCCCCCTCGTCACTCTCTGACCTCCGGCTTTAGAAATTACCTATAAAGGGGTCCAATGGACCACAAAGAAAAGAACACTGAACACCCTCATGTGACCATTGGCTGGGCAGCCTAGATTACTGGGGGCCAGTTTATAGGATCTGAATGGCACCCCAATGCACCGCCCCAATGCGCATGCATCGCAACCTAGCAACACACTAACTTGCATTGTCGTGCGCTGCGCTGGTGAAAACGCGGCATGCACCTTCCTTTGGTTTGCCCTTACGCAACGCACGTTGGCCCAGACCAAGCGTCCACTCACAGCCACCTCACTGGCTACATTGTATTCAGCGAAGGCGTGAAAAAGATACATTTCCTGTTTCTTAGGCGGAGGACAGAAAACATGACAGTTACTGCAATCATCCCCGACGTGAGATCACCCGCTACAAATCCTCTATTCATACACATGACGGGGGCGGAGTCCGGCCTTGAACCCTCTGCACCCTGCGCGATGTGACGAGATGTCAGGCTACGCCCACTGCGGGCGGACTGAGTCACCCCCGGGAATGTGGAGGGTCACACCGCTGGAACCTGACAAGTGTAACAGTTACGTTTCCTGCAGGGAGCGAGCCGGGCCCGGGACTGTTCTGGTAGGATCCGGGACCCGTTAGGAATGTGGACTGCAGCTCGGCATGCATGGAAATGGATATGAAGGCGAGCAATGCAATCCTGGAGCTCCACTTTAAAGTGGAAGATCGGCTTAGAATGAAACAGCCATGTAACACATTGATCGGTGCACGGCGCCATGTTTGACTGCTGTCCACACTCCGGTTGTGCAGCAATCAATGTGCCGGTGACACCATCCGACTCATGGTGTCACCGACTCCCCCCTTTCCTTCCATGCTAGTAGAAAAGTGCGATTCGTTTTGTTTCCCGAATCAAAATTCGGACGAATTATCCAGAATTTGAACATTCGGACACATCCGAATTTCCGAGTCCCAATGCATCCGAGTGTGTCCGATATTCCGTTTCCAAATTTCAGATCCCATCCGAATTTCGTTCAAAAATAAAACTGAAACTGAATGGGACATGTGACTTTTCTGGCCAATCAGATGTGTTTTTCGGTTTATTGCATCCGAATGGGTCTGAATACAAATTGTCGTTACGACAACATGGGAGCCATATACGGTATATACATATAATACTAAAGCTGAGGCTCCCAGACCCGAATGGTGTGTCATTTGGGACCCGTGTGTCATTTGGGACCCGTGTGTCATTTGGGAGCTCCTGTATGCCATTCGGGTCTGGGAGCCTCAGCTTTAGTATTAATACCTGTATACGGTTTTCTGTTGTATTCGCAATTAATATTCGTAAACTCATCCGAAACTAACGAAAATTCTGATTTCGTCCGAATCCGAAAGCCAAACGGAATTGATTTTCGGATCCGAATCCCGAAATAACGAAATAACCGAACCGAATTTTTCCGCAGCATACATGTCTACATGCTAGTGATTGGGAAGTCTGACTGGAAACTGATTGCCGCCAGTTCACCGGTTTTCCTTCCTGGGACCACTTCTGGTCGGTTCTGACCACTGCAGACCGGGAACATCCCACAAGAGCCGCAGTGTTGGAGTGGCTCTGACCCAGCCGTCTAGGATCACAATTTGGTCCCTCAAATCCTTCCACTTCTCCATTATATCTGCTCCCAACACATCAACTTCAGGGACAAAATGTTTACTTCCTGTCTAATATATCCCCCCACTTCCAGGTGTCATTGTAATATATCCCCCCACTTCCAGGTGTCATTGTAATATATCCCCCCC